GCAGAGGAAATGTCTCCCAGAATGAGACACTGCGACCGACAGGAGTGACAATACACTCTTGTCGGTCAAACTTCCGCGTTCAAGTTATCAATGCGGAACATTGTTCCATTCTGGGAGACATGCAGAGGAAATGTCTCCCAGAATGAGACACTGCGACCGACAGGAGTGCACAATACACTCTTGTCGGTCAAACTTCCGCGTTCAAGTTATCAATGCGGAACATTGTTCCATTCTGGGAGACATGCAGAGGAAATGTCTCCCAGAATGAGACACTGCGACCGACAGGAGTGCACAATACACTCTTGTCGGTCAAACTTCCGCGTTCAAGTTATGAATGCGGAACATTGTTCCATTCTGGGAGACATGCAGAGGAAATGTCTCCAGAATGAGACACTGCGACCGACAGGAGTGCACAATACACTCTTGTCGGTCAAATTCCGCGTTCAAGTTATCAATGCGGAACATTGTTCCATTCTGGGAGACATGCAGAGGAAATGTCTCCCAGAATGAGACACTGCGACCGACAGGAGTGCACAATACACTCTTGTCGGTCAAACTTCCGCGTTCAAGTTATGAATGCGAACATTGTTCCATTCTGGGAGACATGCAGAGGAAATGTCTCCCAGAATGAGACACTGGCGACCGACAGGAGTGCACAATACACTCTTGTCGGTCAAACTTCCGCGTTCAAGTTATGAATGCGGAACATTGTTCCATTCTGGGAGACATGCAGAGGAAATGTCTCCAGAATGAGACACTGCGACCGACAGGAGTGCACAATACACTCTTGTCGGTCAAACTTCCGCGTTCAAGTTATCAATGCGGAACATTGTTCCATTCTGGGAGACATGCAGAGGAAATGTCTCCCAGAATGAGACACTGCGACCGACAGGAGTGCACAATACACTCTTGTCGGTCAAACTTCCGCGTTCAAGTTATCAATGCGGAACATTGTTCCATTCTGGGAGACATGCAGAGGAAATGTCTCCCAGAATGAGACACTGCGACCGACAGGAGTGCACAATACACTCTTGTCGGTCAAACTTCCGCGTTCAAGTTATCAATGCGGAACATTGTTCCATTCTGGGAGACATGCAGAGGAAATGTCTCCCAGAATGAGACACTGCGACCGACAGGAGTGCACAATACACTCTTGTCGGTCAAACTTCCGCGTTCAAGTTATGAATGCGGAACATTGTTCCATTCTGGGAGACATGCAGAGGAAATGTCTCCCAGAATGAGACACTGCGACCGACAGGAGTGCACAATACACTCTTGTCGGTCAAACTTCCGCGTTCAAGTTATCAATGCGGAACATTGTTCCATTCTGGGAGACATGCAGAGGAAATGTCTCCCAGAATGAGACACTGCGACCGACAGGAGTGCACAATACACTCTTGTCGGTCAAACTTCCGCGTTCAAGTTATCAATGCGGAACATTGTTCCATTCTGGGAGACATGCAGAGGAAATGTCTCCCAGAATGAGACACTGCGACCGACAGGAGTGCACAATACACTCTTGTCGGTCAAACTTCCGCGTTCAAGTTATCAATGCGGAACATTGTTCCATTCTGGGAGACATGCAGAGGAAATGTCTCCCAGAATGAGACACTGCGACCGACAGGAGTGCACAATACACTCTTGTCGGTCAAACTTCCGCGTTCAAGTTATCAATGCGGAACATTGTTCCATTCTGGGAGACATGCAGAGGAAATGTCTCCCAGAATGAGACACTGCGACCGACAGGAGTGCACAATACACTCTTGTCGGTCAAACTTCCGCGTTCAAGTTATCAATGCGGAACATTGTTCCATTCTGGGAGACATGCAGAGGAAATGTCTCCCAGAATGAGACACTGCGACCGACAGGAGTGCACAATACACTCTTGTCGGTCAAACTTCCGCGTTCAAGTTATCAATGCGGAACATTGTTCCATTCTGGGAGACATGCAGAGGAAATGTCTCCCAGAATGAGACACTGCAACCGACAGGAGTGCATAATACACTCTTGTCGGTCAAACTTCCGCGTTCAAGTTATCAATGTGGAACAGTGTCTCATTCGAGGAGCCCTCGAAAAGAACCTCACATCGACCTCTCTCTTTCCGGCATCTTTACCGAGCATAGACTGCTCGTTCGCAACTTTGTGTGCAATCTAAGAGATGATTGCGGTAAAGATGCCGGGAAGATTGACGCTGCAGCAGAGAATCACTACGGCTCTCTTTTACCGGCATCTTTACCGCATAGAAAACTGCTCGTTCGCAACTTTGTGTGTAATCTAAGAGATCATTGCGGTAAAGATGCCGGGAAGATTGATGCTGCAGCCCCAGGCCGCACTCAGATTTCATCCCGCTACACAATTGTTCATCCAACAACTGTCATAGAGGTTGAAATTTTCGACCAGAAGTGAAACATATCATTTTTAAGACTGCGGCGCGCAAGCAAGTTTGAAACTTTCAAGGGTGATCAGTCCTTTACTCATTTCAAGACCTCTTGTTGCCTGATAAAACGATACTTCCTTCCTTGTGGGCCATTGAAAACCCCCCAAACCGTCACAACTTGCTTCCTAAATTTTATTTGCGGAGTAATTATCATGCATATTTTATCGGATAATAATATCAAAGCTAAATTTCATATTATTTTTTAAAGATATGCATTTTCTGTCTAAATTTATTTTTTCTGTTTCCAATTCACGGAATAATATTCTTACAAGCATATACATAGCTAATATATACCATTTTAATAATAATAAAACCAAAATGATGTATTCTTCATATAGTTATTTAAAATTCGTTAACTAGAATTGTATTCAGAACGAGGCAAAGTTAGGAGATACATAAAAACCAATAACTTGATAAGTGATACCTTTTTTCCTGATATATCTATATGTGTTAATGTCAAACACGATTTGGAAAAATTAATTCTTTAAATCGGCTTAAGAATAAGACCAACATCAAAAGCATGGCTAATAAATTAATAAATCAATGTTTAATTACCGATTCATGCATTTTTTTTCAAAATTTCAAATTTCGAATTTTTGTTTCTCCAAAATATTAATTGTTTCCACTAGATTAACAAATAAACAATAAATTGGATTAATGTAATGCCCAATCATTCATTTTAAATTTTAGATTTAAAACAATATTTTTCTCCATATTATTATAACATGAATCGCTATGATATAAGAAATATATTTTCAATATTGAAATTGAAAAATTCTAAAATTTTTGAAATTCAATTTGAGTGTGATGATCGATAACATATATTTTTTAATTAAAATCTTGTGTCGCTATCATATGAATATACTATTTCTAAATTAAAAATAGAAAAAAAGCACTATTTAATGATGAAATTGCAAATAATATCAATATATATATATTTATGCTGATATATTTTGGGAACAGATTGGCAATCACATAAATAGGATTGTGTTAGTTTGTCATGGATATAAAACAAATTTTCGAGCTAATTGAGCGAATTTAAATCACAAACACTTATATTTTCTATTACAAGGTATATTTGTAATATACAACCAGTAAATAGCTTTCTCTAACTTTTACCAGCTTAGATGATAGCAAATTAGATACGAATTTCATGACCCCTCACCAAATTCCACTAAAACATATACAAATAAAAGTACTAAGTGGGTATCATCTAACCCTAGAATTATAGCTCCTAGGACTCATCCTAGATGGTAGTTCTGGAAAAACACCTGGTTTTTGGAGTTTTCATAGCACTTCGGTAATATTATTTTCATAAAAACTGCAATTCATTACATAGATAACGTAGAAATTCTGAATTAAGGTAGTTCCTTCATTTTCGAAGATATTACAAAAAAGAATATATAATTCAGGTTCTGGTGATCCTGATAATATAAGACGACCAATCGGACCGCCCGTGTTGTTTTGAAAATGTTGAAAGTGTCACATTCGAGGAAAAACTACTATAAACATGGTAGATACAATAATCATTAAGTTTTGAATATGAAATATTGATTGATCTCATATGTGTTTCACCGCAAATCAGACAAACTGTTCCTTCCCCTTGTGTGATATCTTCTCCACTTGAAGTCATTGTTGAATCAAGGAGATAGTTCTTCAATGTAGAATCTTCTTCGTATAATATATAACAATAGACACCCAATTCATTGACTGTTTTAGAGCCAAAACTGCAGATTCTGTCTTGAACACAGTCACCGTTATTAATTTTTACATATAATGAGCCACCATCTTCGCTCTTGTGCATACATTTGTAAAAAGAAGCTTGTGTCAATGAGGAATTTGAAATTGTTGCCTGGTTCAGCGGTGATACGAATTGCACCTGTCTCATTAAGGTAAATAAAAAGACAAAGAGAGACGTAATAGCTATTCCTGAACTATCATCGAGCTTTTTGCTTTCATTTCGGTATGGAGTGTGTTCGAATGTTGAGTCAAAGAAATCTTCCCACGCATTGTGGAAAATAGAGAGAAATGTATGTAGTTGATGAATCGACTAATCGTTAATGTAATCATTTTAACCACTCTTCACTTTGATCTAAAAGAGGAATGGCAGTTATTCGATAGCAAATAATGTAAAATGTAAATTATGATCCAAAAACGAGTGTTTTTCTATCAAACTTTTGACATTTTGCAAAATTGAAAGTATGGCAAAATGTCAATTCACCATTAACAACTTGTTATCTGGAGAATGATTTCAAATGTGTCACAAGTTGTTATTTTCGTCGTGAACAACGGCTGTTGAAACAAATCACAATCGCCAGTTATTAGTTCTTTATAGACATATCCTCAAAACAATTGCCTTTTATAAGAGTTTTTCAAGCCAGAAGAACGATATCAATACATTATGGAATAAGTAATTAGTGTGGTTCTGGCCATATTAATCATAATTTTTTGCAGAAATTATCAATGGTATCACATGCAAATCAAATAAAGAATTTAAGGATCAAAAACATGTAAATAAATAAAATGGTTATATAATTTAATAATACAAACAAAGAAAATAATTTTATTCAAAGTTATTATTATTAGAAACTAAATATGTGTGATTGTTATTTTCAGTTCCGACATCTTTGATTTTGTAGTTAAAGTACTTGATGTCGTTGTATGTTCGCTCACTAATGTGGACTAACCAAGGAGGACAGAATTCACAAAGTTTAATAGCACTTTGTGCTGTCTCACCGAAGATATCAAAAACTGAATACAATGTACCACACATGCCGCATTTAACACGGCCGGTGTGAATGCCAATACTCAGTGATACCTTTTGACTATCAACAATTTTCGATGTCGATGATATCATTTTCAATGCAATGTCTGTCGCAGACTGGCCTGGTGATTTGTTCTTGTTGAAAAGACCATTAACAGCTACAAATGACAAACCACATGTTCGAACTCGAATTGTTTCGTCATCTAAACTAGAATTTAATGCTGAAAAGACATTCTTTGTGATGGAAACAATCTCCGATGTCATGATATCTGTATTGATTGTAGCAACAATGACAGAACCAACGTCAATGTCGAAATATGTGTCTGGACTGAATTCCCGTTTATTTCGGATTTCAGGGGGAATAATTAATGACCAAAGACTTTCAATTTTCTCACGCTCGAACTTGATGAGATCTTCTTGGTCGTGAATGATCTTGTTGTCTTGGATTGTCAATGCAAATGATTGTGCATTTGTTAATGATCTGTTTCCGAAATCATCTGGATCGGAATATCCAATTAATGTCACTTTGACATTGATGAATTCGCCATTTGGATTTGCAATGAGTGAATCAAAGACAAATGTGTTTGTTTTAGCAACACCTGCAACCATCTTCTTGGATGAACGTTCCAATCTTTGGATACTTGACAATTTGTCTTTGTCAATCAATGTTCGATTGAGAATTGTTCTGATGGGTTCTCCAATTTCTGATTTCGTGATTTCGTAAAATCGCTTATTTGCCAGTTGTAATTGGAGGAATTCATCAAGTAAACAAACAGCGCAGTTACTATAATCGCATGCAAATTCAACTTCTTCGTTGTTCATTGCGTTTCGTGATTCGATAATGAAATCTTTTGTGACTTTTAATGATCCTGAAAACCATTTAACAATTGTTGGACTTTTCATGATGACTTCTGGAGGAATGAGACAAATAAGTTTTCTTGGTGTTTCAAGATGATGCAACAAATATGACAAATAATCATAAATAAATACAACACTGTATAATAATTGGATAACAATCAACAAAACATAAACAATTAATAGTTCATTTTGTTTCTGTGCATTCAAATCATCAACTGTTGATGAAAATAAATTAGTTCCATTCTGTAAACCAGGAATAAGATGACCAAACAAAATATGTTCATAATGATATGTAAATCCATCATTATATGTTAGTTTGATAGAACTAGATTTGTTAAATATCCATTGACTAATTGAGTAAATCAAAGAAACTTGAGAATCACAACTCAATGAATCATAAACACCTTGTATTAAACCATACATTGGTTCTGAAATAACTAATGATTCATTAATATCAGTACTTTTTCCGTAAGCTTCACTTAACTCAGATGATAACAATAAAACTGGTTCTAATGATGGAGGATTTCCATAAAGAAGAGTATTAAACATATCAACAAATGTATCTATATAATAAAGAATATCTTCATCCATTTGTGATTCATTAAAAATCACATAGTTCTGTGAAAATACTTCTTGCGACCAAACTGATTCTGATGCGGCATAAGCAAAAACAGAAATAGATAATGTGTATAATTTCGTCATATCAATGATTTGATTCATAGAATCCATGAAAACTATAATTCCTACAAATGATAAAACACATGAAATAAAAAGAAAAATACAACAAACAATAATATAACTAGTAAAAATACCTGTTGTCTGTTTCGGAAGAATAGAAAGACTTTCTATTAATTCTTCTTGACGTAAATGAATTTCATCTGGATTAGAATCATTGACTGTACTTGGATCTGAATGTTTCTTTTCGCGGCGAGATGATAATTCACTCTTTAAAGTGGTTAATTCACTTTTAGAGATACTGAAAAATAATCTCAAATAAAACTTAATTTCATAAGAAGCAGAAGAAAATGAAATAATTAATAAAGGAACAATAATAACAAAAATAACAACAATTGTCGTAATAGAATAAATGATTCCTAATTTATCGAAACTCTCTTTGTAATCATTGATTCTTAAGTTCAATGACCACATAACTGAACTAATACCTGAAACAATTTCATCAAAATTCAATAAAATAAATTGAAATGATTCATCGGAATTGAGATTTGTAAAATCTGTCATATTTCGAGTAGAATTAGAAAACAACAAGAAAGTAGACAATAAATTATATAAATTAATAGATGAACTCGCTGATTCATTATTGGATTTATATGTAACTGTTTGTTCACAAATATTTGATGGAATTTTTCCATCTGTACAAGAACCAACAAAAGAATCTAAATTTGCTTCTAATTCATCTAAATAAGAATTCAATGATTTGTTGGCCGAACTCTCATTAATTATCTCTGTCATTGTACCAGAAATTGGGCCAACATCATAATTTTGAATGACGTTTTCTTCAAACAAATCAATTCTTCGCATCAACTGAGGAATTCGATTAACTTCAACTTGTATGTTTCCTATTACTTTTATTGGTGCTGTTGTTCTTAAGAAACTATTTGCTTTAGCTAATGCTATAATTAGTTCTAACAAAGGACAAAAAATCATCAACAAAATCATGATAATTGTTGATGAAATTAACAAACTCTTTGATTTTGATTTGATATTTGAAATAACATTTTGAACATTTATCCATGGATCCATTTGTTGTAAGAAATTGTCATCAACATCATCGAATTCGTTTGATGATGACGAACTATCAGGATCTTGGTTATTTTTGTTTTTTAATCTGTTCAGTTTCATTTGTGTTTCAATTGTTTTTATGTGATCACCAAGAGATTTATGATAAATAATAACTGTTTCTCGATAAACTGTTTGCGATGTAGGATAATTCCTCATCAAACATTGGAAAAGCTGTTCTGTTCTTATCATTTCGTTGGAAATTAATGGTAAACAATCAATCATTCCTTTGATTTTCTGTTTGATTGTCGCGTTCCAAAATTCAATACAATAATTTTGTAATGAATAACTCGCTCTTTTACATTTGGAGATTGCTTCTAACAATGGTTGGTTCGCTTGTGTTAAAAGCTCTTGTCGTAAGTTATCAAACAATATCACAAAGCTCTTGGAATTGAAAGGACCTGATGAAAGTTTTGAAACATGGCCGGCCAAAGTATTTAACATTCTCATATCGTTTTGTAATGCATATGATACTTGGCAAGCACTTAAAAGGAGATCTGCTTTAAGTGTTTGGTCAATACACCATTTAATAAACCTTTGATCGTCAATTTCTGGAACATTAAATAAAAATCCAACTCTTAAATATAGAGAAAGTTCCTTTTCTCCTGAAATATTCAACTTAGCGAAGTCCACATTTTGTGTCTGATTCAAATTTAGTATCGCTGCTGATAATGGATCTATTGATGTATCTTCATTTTCTTCTGAAGCGCGTAGATCATTGAATTTCTTGATAATACGTTTGCATTTGATGGTAATAAGGCATTTGGAGATTGTATACGCGATGGGAATGAAAATAATGCAGGCAAGAAAATAATATGGACTTGCTTTCGTCGAATAATAAATAACTAATGGGAAAAAAGCAAATGGATACACAGATATTGCTGCTGCCATCAAAACAGCATTGTATTTTAATACAATTCCCGGTAAAAAATATAAAATTTTGTAACCGAAAAAAATTGCGAGAATTACGATAATTACGATGTAAACAATTTCTTTTGTAGGACTATTTAAATAATTCAATACGCACTGAACGAATATGTTGATCGATAAAACAAGGTTAATCTCGGTATCTAATCCTGAATGAGAATACCATAACTGGGAAACATCATTTGGTCGTATGATCGGTGTAGCGTTGTATACAGAACAGGAGAAGAATATGTACATGATCTGAAGAATGTAAAGAGGAATTGATAAAATTAAGTTGATTCCATGCTTTTGATTAGGATCTGCAATGTAAGCGCATAAGTTTGACCAAAAGTAATACGATATATAACATGTAGTAATCGGACAAGTGATTCTGGAAAAAATTATCCAAAGATATATATCAAGAGAAGCCGCTGTATTATTATTTTTGTAACGAAGAACATTTCTGAATAGCATATAAACCAATGCCATATAAATTAAGATTAAAGATACATTAAAAGCGATGTAAATATTAAGGCTTGCATCCGTAGGTAAAATAATGATAATGTATTGTAATATTTTGATGAATAATGAGTAAAATTTTGATTTTGTTTCTTCAATCATTAAAATACCAGATGCCCCTAAAATTGCAAAAAAAGGAAAGACGAATTCTCGCAATTTATTTAGAAATGGATGCACCTCGTTGTATCTGCCAACATCCATAGAGAATTGTATACGAAAGCCTGATAACATCATTTGAAAATTTGTTTTTTCATCTTTGATTCCGTATTTCTCGTCAGCATTCCACATAGCGCTGGTGTCTACTTCATACTTCTTTGAAAGTGTTGACTTCGAATGTATACTGGAGGCAGTATACATCGAAGTCATTTTCAGAGGTTATAGGTCGAAAAAAGTGCAAAAAATTATTTTCAAAATTTTCTCATTGAAAAAAATAACCGTTATTAATAAAATTACGGTTAATCTTTGTTTTCCTGCAATGTATGTATTGTTTTGAATAAGGGTGAATGAAATTGAGAAAGTTAATTTTCTCACAAATTCTAGCGTAAAGAATTCAAACATTCAAATATTTGCCGAACAAAAATTAAAATAATTATGGTGAAATGATGCATAGTATATTTAAATTAAGGGTTTCGTTTTGCTAAAATTGTCACTTTTATAGCATATTTGTTTTTGGATGTTTTGCGAAACCAAAAAAAAACTATGATATACAATGTGTGTGTAAAGAAAATACTTTATTTACTAGTTAAAAAATCATTTGGTATTGATCAAGTTATTTTTTCTGGATAAGATATTATATGGATAATTGGATAGAAAATACAATTATATAATCTTGTACCTGGTTTAATTAAGCTAATTGTCATCAGAAACATGTAATTTTTATGAATTTCAGATTTTCTTTTCATTACTGCTTTTCTTAATAGGTCAAGTTCTTATTTACGTTATAAAGTATGATATTTACAAATATCAAGTTATCATGTTTTTTGAGAAATTATGAGAAACAAACAAAAATGAAAAAGATAGGAATAGCAATGAATAGTGATGTGGGTATAGAAAATGTAAGAGATATAAATGCAAAGCAATCAGTATTTAGGACATTGACCATAGATTTCGAAAAAAAAATGCTGCATATTGAGCGAAAACTATGATTATATTGTAAGGCTGTCATTTAAAGCATAATGAAACTATTCCCTTTTCATTTTAATCGAATAAGATAGTAAAGATTTTTGAATTAGCTAGAAACTGATGAGATGTTTTCACAAATCAGATTTTTAATCTCTATAATGCAGAATTCACTCAATATCTCAATTTTGATATTGCGAGATATTTTAGCTATCGGTTTCGCAATTTTGACACAATAGCAAGAGGGTTCTATAAGCATTATTATCAACGTAGAATCTGAATATCATATCAGAAAATGTCGCAAATCTGACATTTACCAGACCAAATAGCAAAAATAATTGAATACTTTTCGCAAAAACTTTAAAAATCGATAAAAATATGAAATATAGATATTAAAGAGACTTTTTATATAATATTAAAAAAAAAAAAAAAAAAAAAAGGTAGTGGGGCCTCCAGGCACTTCGTGCCCTCTAGCCCTGAAGATGTTTAGTATAATGAAGTTTTTTTTTTTTCTTTGGGATGGCCTTCCAGGCACTTCGTGCCCTCTAGCCCATAAAAAGTTTAGTATAACTTTGTCCGGACAAATAAGGGTCTATCGTCGCTACAGGAAAAGTTACAGGCGTTCCACGGAAGTATACTTTGAGAAGCCTTTTCCCCTTATAGAATGAGATAGGACGGTTATTTTACAAAACTGACAACACTTTGACCGAGTCGTTTTTTGTGCTGAACAAAAAGTGTCATATAAACATCTGTCAAAAACCGTTTTTTACTTCACTTAAAATGCCACGTAAGCTACGTAAGAATATACGTAAGAGGAAGAGAGCATTGAAACATCCAATAGTAAAACTGACACCACAACAACAGTTGCAACAACAAATGATGAATGACCCACTATGTTGCAACAAATGTCAAGCAACCCTATGCTTTTAAACCGAGTTATTGGTGCACAGAGTGGAGGTTTAAGAGCGGCACTTTTAGCGAAAATGGCAGGTTATGGTGGAGCTGCAGACGGAACAGCTTATAACCCTCAAAGTCAAATGAATTTGAGTTCACTTAAAAAATCATAACAGATGTCAAAAAGTCAAACATAGACATACAGAAACAAATAGTGAAAACGAAAAGAAACTAGAATATGACAGACAGACAAAGAAACTAAATGAGTTAAACGTAGAGAAAAAGAAGAAAGAAGAACAACTGAAAGAACTAAGTACAGAGGAATATGCGAAAAAAGTGTCAGAAAAAGCAGCAGAAGTAGCAAAAATGGAACAAGATGTTATAAATTTGAAAAACATACTACTCAATATAAAGTACTGAAAGATGAAGAAATAAAACAAAAAGCCCTGAAGACATATATGGATAGCGATGAGTATAAAAAGAAGTTGAAGCAAATGTAAAGGCAGAAAAACTTTTACAGTTGCAAAACCAAACCGTACAGTATGAAAACTTAGCACAAGAAAGTAAAAATAACGACGCAGCCATGCAAAAGGCAATGAAAAGCGCAGAATATATAAAAGCTAATAATGACTGGTTAGATGCCCAAGCCAACGCTAAAGCAGCCCAACTTATAGGGTCAATAAGGACAAAAATACAAGCGGATGAAGACAGTTCAAATGAAAGCTTTAATGAATGCTGACTTTAGAACGCCTTCGAAGCTCTTCATAGTAAGGTGAAACTAGTGAACGACTTCTCATCTGGAAAGAAACTGAAGTCTGAAGGTTTCGACAAAGAGTTAAGAGAAGTAGCACAAAATATGACGAAAATAACAGATGCAGCAACGAGACAGGCAGTTCAAAGTGCCTATGACGCCGTTAGAGCAACTGTTGTGGAAAGTCAAGAAAAAGAGTTACAACAGACCAAAACAGACCTAGTAAATGCTTTCTTAAAAACGAAAAGTCAGGTAGGACATTATGCTGCAGATGGAACATATGTGCCAGCTGGTGGAACTTATATGCCAGCAGATGAGGTACAAGAAACTCCACAGGAAGAAGTTCAGATACAACCAGACATGGAAGAAATAGTTCAGCAACAACAGCTAGAAGAGCCTGAAGGAAACGAACAAGTTCCTCCTTTGGAAACTACAGAAATAAATGACGCAAGACTGAAACATTGGGTAAAAGCTTTCCCATTCACAAAAGATATTGTTGGTAACATGGAAAGAAAACCAGAATGGCTACAAAAACATATATTTGGAAACGAGCTTATTCCATATGGACAAGCTCTGTTTGAAGAGCTTGAACCGGAAACTCAGGAAAGAGTCATGCAAACAATACGCGAAGACTCAAATACAAACTATGACAAAATCTTTCTAGGATATAGGTTACCTGAGATGGGCGACCAGAGCCCAAAGGCAAAAAGGACATGGGAAATTTACAACATACTAGGTGAACATGAGGCAAAGATGCAACAACTTGAAGCAGAGGGCAAGTTACCAAAAGCGACACCAAAGAAGAAGAGTAGAACAAAGTGAAAGTAGTGAAGAAGTAACTTCATCTAGTGAAAGTAGTGGCAATGAAGGAAAAAGAAGAGTTAAAAACTCAGTCAGGAAGAAAGTAAAGCTTGGTACGAGTGGGTTCTATTATGACAAATAAATCCAACTATTCTATATTTTTACCCATATGAAATGTACGCCGCTCAGAATATAACGCCAACAGTTTTGGATGCCATGAACGGAAATGTTTCCGAATGGTATAACGAATGCGACAATGCCATTAGAAGGTCAGAAATAGTTCCTGGAACTTACGAATATACAACTGCTGTTTCTTATGGAAACGTAGGTGAGTTTGGAGAAGGTTCTTCAACAACAGTAGATATTGCTTGCGACAGGTTTCATATTATTTCTATTGACAACTCATTCTTATACGTGGAACAAGACATTGAAATAAAACCTTCTGCCAAGTTGTCTGACAAGAAAGGTTGCAATGGAATTTTCTATGTCGGATACCAATATGCTCCAGAAGTTTTCATGGGATATAAGATATATTCTAACTCTGACTTAGTTCAAACAGTAACATGGGCAAACTATGAATGGTTCGCTTTGAGAAACTCAGTACAACCACAAGCTAGAGAACAAACAGACCAGTATGCAAATATTGAGAAAATAAGAAGACTTGACCCTAACGTTCCAGGAGTTTATGTTAACCTTTCTGGTTCAGATGACTGCTGCCACTAAAGTAAAACTGAAACTTAGAGTTCCTTTGTCATCTTTCCTCATCTTCAGGTTTTTAAGATACTTGCCAAACTGGGCAGGAAAAATTTCTATTGAACTTACTCCAAGCAAAAATAACTTAGTCATTGCACCAACACAAGACCCATTCACTCTTACAGACGTAAAGGGAACAAATCAAACGTCATTCGCCGAATTTTGCAAAGACAAAGTTGACTTAGACTTTGGTTTCTCAAACTTCAACAATGAAGTAAACTATTATTTCAATGCTGCTGGAACTGCTTGGACCCAGTTAAGTTCACATGCGAACAGTTTGAATGCAAAGAGAATAGAAAGCAGACTTGCAGTCTATATGTTGGACCCAGATATTTCAAATGCTTTAGCTGCCAAATATATTGCAGTTCCACTTATGTTCCCTATACACCAAATATCTGTCACAAAGACTTTGCAGGTGAAGTTGGAAACCAAAGTGCTGACCCAGGTGCAAGAACAGATATTGCTTTAACAACTGCAATGAAACATGCAGATACTATGTTTGTACTGTTCAGACGAACTATAAATGACTATTCTTGTTTCTACAACCCGGTATTAAATATCATATAAACATAGATGGCAAATATATATCCAAGAGAAGAATATTCTACAGTTGAGGATATTGAGGTCATACAACTTGACATTAGATGCTATGAACTTTAACAACAACTTCACAACAACCATTAACCCTGAAATGCAAAGTTCTATTATGCCATATGTGAAAGTATGGACTCATACAGGAGGTCAAAAAACTCAATATACAAATGGAGACCGTTCAAACTTTTGGCTTGGCATTCCATTTGCTGACTCAGAAGACTTTATGGGTGGTATTTCAACTGTTGGTACAGTTCAAATACAATATACTGGTGACAGAGACGGTCCAGATGAATTGAAAGCAAAGAAGTTTACAAAACCAATAGCACTTTTCAGGGAAGATGCTCTTTGAAGATTCGTTCGATGAAACCTGCTGGGCTCCTCAGATTGGCATAACGACAGCTTCCATCGAGCAGATTTGGCAGCAGGTCAGTAAGTTGTTCTTGAACTGACTTCT